GACATGCATGAACCAAGTTAGCGAGCCCGACCACCCGATCCCGTTAGCCGCCTCTTACGACAAGCATAGGTACCAGTTTCGGTTGCGGAAGACCTTTTCTCGACCCAGATCTTCACGGGTCCTTTCAAATAGTGATGATACCAGGTGTTCTTTCTCTTATGGATGTTGTGCTATAGATACTGTTATGAAAATAGTTGCCGTACATTCTACAAATCACACAAGGCATAACTTGTAAAGTTACTTTATCGCTATCCAATACATCATGTATTATGTATTATAAATATAAAAAATAACATACATCATGTATTATGTATTATAAATATAAACAATAACATACATCATTCAAGCCGCATGCCATACTAGATTAGGTCTAAGTTTAGGAAAGCTTAGAGAAGCCTTAATTCAGCATCAGAACACACATGGCGAATAAACAAATATACACAAATTTTCTGAGAAATAAAAAACAGAAGAAAATTGAAATTAAACAAAGAAGTTTCTAAACCCTATACAAAACACAATACATAGAGGGACAGCTATGCAAATAAATATGAGACAAAACCCTTCCAGAATCATTAGGTGGAGATGGGGGCTACGATGGAGATCAGCTCAATTATTATATATTATTACAGTCGCTCAGTTATCTAGTGTTTTATCTAAAATAAATAATAATAACGATCTGTATTCTCGGACACTTTAATCAGTGTGTAATAGTAGGGCTTACAATGCGAGGCCTATGACAGAAATAATTCCGTAAAAGGGGGAAATAAATCACTATCAAATGATACAGGGTAATTTAGAAGGAAGTATGTGAACATGAATTTGGTTATAATGATCTTCAAACATTCAAGTAACATCTGCATCCTGACTAGGCAATAGATACAATTTCAACTAGACATAAACAGGGTCGCTTCACTAGTTTTGACGTTATGGGGGGTGTGGGGGGGGGGGGGGGGGGGGGGGGGGGTCGGGTAGCCTAGTGGTTAAAGTGGTCGCTCGTCACACCGAAGACCCGGGTTCGATTCCCGACATTGGTACAATGTAGGAAGCCAATTTCTGGTGTCCCCCGCCCTGATATTGCTGGAATATGGCTAAAAGCGGCGTAAAACCATACTCACTCACTCACTCAAACACAGAATGGAGAAGCGAACATAAAATCTGTAAACTTTCTTGAACGTACCTGATTTACGTAAATTTACGTGTAAATGATGTATGTCCTGGTATCATGTCATCATTGCTATTGTGTCTGTTTAATGAGTCACTCCACGCAGATTTGCCTTTAGTCGCTGTAGGGGTCACTTTGCATTGCTTGAGCACACTTTAGGTGGACACTTGATATGCCTTTGTTCCCTTGGGGCAGGAAACGCTCACCTTAGCACGAACACCAGGTGACATCACTATTTGATAGTGATCCATAAACACATGCGCAAGATACAGTCGGAATCGTTGAAAGGGTATTGTCGCTTTTATATATTGAGCAAGGTGAATCTCAAGCTAGCAAAAGATTTCAGTAATGATAGGCAGACAGACATACATATATTTTATTTAAGTCTCACCTTCAACATTACATACAGTGTTTAAAGCAAAGATAAATACACGCGACGCAAAACATTTCCATAATCATAAAAATACCCATTGTACGGTTCTGACTATATCATGCATGAGTTCTTTATGAATCACTTTTTCAAATAGTGCCACACTCAACAATATTCCTGCTATGTGACGGCGGTCTGTAAATTTCCAATCTGTACCAGACAATTCAGTGATTGATAGCATGATCATCGATCTACGCAATTGGAATACGATGACATGCATGAACCAAGTTAGCGAGCCCGACCACCCGATCCCGTTAGCCGCCTCTTACGACAAGCATAGGTACCAGTTTCGGTTGCGGAAGACCTTTTCTCGACCCAGATCTTCACGGGTCCTTTCAAATAGTGATGATACCAGGTGTTCTTTCTCTTATGGATGTTGTGCTATAGATACTGTTATGAAAATAGTTGCCGTACATTCTACAAATCACACAAGGCATAACTTGTAAAGTTACTTTATCGCTATCCAATACATCATGTATTATGTATTATAAATATAAAAAATAACATACATCATGTATTATGTATTATAAATATAAACAATAACATACATCATTCAAGCCGCATGCCATACTAGATTAGGTCTAAGTTTAGGAAAGCTTAGAGAAGCCTTAATTCAGCATCAGAACACACATGGCGAATAAACAAATATACACATATTTTCTGAGAAATAAAAAACAGAAGAAAATTGAAATTAAACAAAGAAGTTTCTAAACCCTATACAAAACACAATACATAGAGGGACAGCTATGCAAATAAATATGAGACAAAACCCTTCCAGAATCATTAGGTGGAGATGGGGGCTACGATGGAGATCAGCTCAATTATTATATATTATTACAGTCGCTCAGTTATCTAGTGTTTTATCTAAAATAAATAATAATAACGATCTGTATTCTCGGACACTTTAATCAGTGTGTAATAGTAGGGCTTACAATGCGAGGCCTATGACAGAAATAATTCCGTAAAAGGGGGAAATAAATCACTATCAAATGATACAGGGTAATTTAGAAGGAAGTATGTGAACATGAATTTGGTTATAATGATCTTCAAACATTCAAGTAACATCTGCATCCTGACTAGGCAATAGATACAATTTCAACTAGACATAAACAGGGTCGCTTCACTAGTTTTGACGTTATGGGGGGTGGGGGGGGAGGGGGGTGGGGGGTCGGGTAGCCTAGTGGTTAAAGTGGTCGCTCGTCACACCGAAGACCCGGGTTCGATTCCCGACATTGGTACAATGTAGGAAGCCAATTTCTGGTGTCCCCCGCCCTGATATTGCTGGAATATGGCTAAAAGCGGCGTAAAACCATACTCACTCACTCACTCAAACACAGAATGGAGAAGCGAACATAAAATCTGTAAACTTTCTTGAACGTACCTGATTTACGTAAATTTACGTGTAAATGATGTATGTCCTGGTATCATGTCATCATTGCTATTGTGTCTGTTTAATGAGTCACTCCACGCAGATTTGCCTTTAGTCGCTGTAGGGGTCACTTTGCATTGCTTGAGCACACTTTAGGTGGACACTTGATATGCCTTTGTTCCCTTGGGGCAGGAAACGCTCACCTTAGCACGAACACCAGGTGACATCACTATTTGATAGTGATCCATAAACACATGCGCAAGATACAGTCGGAATCGTTGAAAGGGTATTGTCGCTTTTATATATTGAGCAAGGTGAATCTCAAGCTAGCAAAAGATTTCAGTAATGATAGGCAGACAGACATACATATATTTTATTTAAGTCTCACCTTCAACATTACATACAGTGTTTAAAGCAAAGATAAATACACGCGACGCAAAACATTTCCATAATCATAAAAATACCCATTGTACGGTTCTGACTATATCATGCATGAGTTCTTTATGAATCACTTTTTCAAATAGTGCCACACTCAACAATATTCCTGCTATGTGACGGCGGTCTGTAAATTATCGAATCTGTACCAGACAATTCAGTGATTGATAGCATGATCATCGATCTACGCAATTGGAATACGATGACATGCATGAACCAAGTTAGCGAGCCCGACCACCCGATCCCGTTAGCCGCCTCTTACGACAAGCATAGGTACCAGTTTCGGAAGACCTATTCTCGACCCAGATCTTCACGGGTCCTTTCCAATAGTGATGATACCAGGTGTTCTTTCTCTTATGGATGTTGTGCTATAGATACTGTTATGAAAATAGTTGCCGTACATTCTACAAATCACACAAGGCATAACTTGTAAAGTTACTTCATCGCCATCCAATACATCATGTATTATGTATTATAAATATAAAAAATAACATACATCATGTATTATGTATTATAAATATAAAAAATAACATACATCATTCAAGCCGCATGTCATACTAGATTAGGTCTAAGTTTAGGAAAGCTTAGAGAAGCCTTAATTCAGCATCAGAACACACATGGCGAATAAACAAATATACACATATTTTCTGAGAAATAAAAAACAGAAGAAAATTGAAATTAAACAAAGAAGTTTCTAAACCCTATACAAAACACAATACATAGAGGGACAGCTATGCAAATAAATATAAGACAAAACCTTTCCAGAATCATTAGGTGGAGATGGGGGCTAGGATGGAGATTAGCTCAATTATTATATATTATTACAGTCGCTCAGTTATCTAGTGTTTTATCTAAAATAAATAATAATAACGATCTGTATTCTCGGACACTTTAATCAGTGTGCAAGAGTAGGGCTTACAATGCGAGGCCTATGACAGAAATAGGTGAGGTGAGGTGAAATGGGGTTTAACGTCGCGTCCAAGATTATTGCACTTATATAGCGACGTGCATGTTCGTGTGTGTGTTTGTGTGGCTGCTTGTACTAGTCCGGACTGATGCCGATTTATAGTGCTAGCTCACTGAGGTACCATGCCGCATTTTAACATGAATACCCCACTCAGACACAGTATACTGACTCCGAGCCGACCAGTCCTTGTTTTAGCCCCTTAATGCCGAGCGCCAGACAGGGTAACAACAAGTACCATCTTTTAACGTCTTTTGGTATGACGCGGCCGGGGATCGAACCCCGGACCTTCCGCTCTCCGGGCGGACGCTCTACCACTAGACCACGGAGGCGGTTATGACAGAAATAATTCCGTAAAACGGGGAAATGAATCACTATCAAATGATACAGGGTAATTTAGAAGGAAGTATGTGAACATGAATTTGGTTATAATGATCTTCAAACATTCAAGTAACATCTGCATCCTGACTAGGCAATAGATACAATTTCAACTAGACATAAACAGGGTCGCTTCACTAGTTTTGACCTTATGGGGGGGGGGGGGGGGGTAGCCTAGTGGTTATAGTGGTCGCTCGTCACGCCGAAGACCCGGGTTTCGATTCCCGACATTGGTACAATGTAGGAAGCCCATTTCTGGTGTCCCCGGCCGTGATATTGCTGGAATATTGCTAAAAGCGGCGTAAAAAACCATATTCACTCACTCACTCACTTTGACCTTATGGTGTTCACTCACACACTGCTGGGGTACATTCAGAGCACAAGGCAACACGTTGAGAGCACCATCTGAATGAGGATGAAGTTCTGCAGAACATTAATCCTTACTCACGATCCTGTTGTACAGCTGTTCCCATAGCTCCTCCTGATATGTACTTTCCAAGGACAACATGTTGTCCTTATTCAGCAGTTGGTTGATGATCGGTGGCATTGGATGACGAAGGATTGCATTTGTGTACAGGATGATGAACCTATCTGATTTCATATTCTCACAAGCATCGACAGCAGAGGAAAGCCTGAAATAACACAGCTCGTCTTCAAGAAACGCTTCCGTAAGAATGATGACAGTCTTCCAGCTGTTGTTGATGGCGTCGAGGACCTCTGCACATGTGTATACCCCAGGCTCGAAGTCTCTTTCGGGAATACATAGAGTGAGATCTCTGCTGATTTCTATCTCCTGTGTGAATGCATTAAGCACCCACTGGTAGTCGTCTTTTGTTGAGTAATAGACTAATACATCATACGTAAAATATCTGTGGAAATTGAAGCCTAGTCGTTTCACACTCCACCGTTTTAACAGATGGACATTTCTTGCGATATGCGAACTAAGGGAAAGTACCAAGAAAAACAGAAACAAAAGACACACAGCAAAGGAAAGACAAACAACGGAAATACATTCTCTCCAAAGGTTTAAAGAAGCATTTGCAATATCCGTCATATTTACCATTTGTCCTCCATCGTTTCTGCACATGTAGTGACTACTTTCAACAAACCTTACATCTGTCTCAGTTAACCATACGATGAAGTCCAAATACGCACAGCCACATAACAGAGGATTTCCTCGAAGATTGACAGAGAGGTTCCTCTGTTGAGACACGATATCCAGCCTCTGCCTGGTATCTACACTAAGTTGGTGTATTAAATTGTAGGAGACATCTATCATTGATATATTTGGTATATTCTCTACATCGGGAGGAAGGTCTGTGAGCCCGTTATTTAACAAATGCAATTTTTCAAGATGTTGCAAATTCGCAAATATTCCTTTCATGTTATGAATAATTAAATTAAAACCAACAGTAATATGATTCAGTGAAAGGACGTTAAGGTTGCGAAATGATTTCAGTAAAGCCTTTGGTGGTTCAGTGAAACCATTTCCGGAAATATGCAACTCTTGGAGGTTTTCTAGACCCATGATGCGAACGTCATTTGCTTGTACAGAACAATTAGCAAACACCAATGTTTTCCATCCCTGAGTTCCAGAGAAATTCAAGGTATCCAAAAAATTATCAAATGGTGTCAGTACTGGTGCAAAGTAAAGTGAGGAAAGATTTTGGGGGAAAGGCAACTGTGTAGGTATAGGGTCTTTTACAGCCGCGTCCATGTGTGAATTCTGTCCTTTGCTTTTCAATACCGAACTTGCAGAGAAGACACACTGTTCAGGGTTTCCTCTTGGTAATACCATCTTTTCATCAGATGACTGAAACACTGAGTGTGAGTTAAAAAACGGGTATTTGACATTCATCAATTTAAAATCTTGATCTGTTTGTGCAAATGTAAAAGAATTCAAATTCGGGTACATATTAAGTGTTTGTAGTAGTGGATACTCGTCAAGTATCATATTGTGGCTAAGATCTAAACTATGAAGACACAGGGAAAATGGTTCCTTAGTCAAGGCTCCCTTTGCAATAATCGTAATTCTGTTGCTTGCAAGAAAAACCTCTGAAACACACATCGTGACAAGATGACGTGTCGCAAAGACTGATAGCATATTACACTGATGGCCAGCACCTATAATAAAGTTTGCTATGAATGAAATTCTGGTCATGGAACGATTTGAATAATTCTTCAGATTAATCAAACGTTCTGCTAGGTCATTATTGACTGCATTTCTGATGTCTAAGATGTCCAGTCCTGGGAACTTGGCAACCAATTTACCATCTATCTTTCCTTTATTACATGCGTATATCTGAAGTTTTGTAAGATTTACTTTCGTGAAGACATCCAGTGCACTTTCATTTAGTGAGCCGTTTTGGCAGAACCTTACTGTCAAACTCTGTAAATTTGTCATGTTACTAAATCCAACACCGAAATGTGGGTTAAGCGGAGAATCGATGGCGAGTTCTTCCAACTCATGCAACTGTGCGAATGTGTCTTCTGCGAAGCACCAATTGCTCTCCCGAATGTCCATATCAGTCAAGAATAGCAGTTTTAGTGGAACATTTTCAAACAAACCTGGTGGAAGAGCTTGGGAAGTAAGGTTTAGCTTGTTTTTTCCAAGATCAAGTTTAGTCAGAGATGGTAGACTCTTGAGAGATCCTTCTTCAAGATGAGTGATTTTATTATTGTACATGCTGAGTGTGTGCAGTTCCGGGAGAATAGGAAAGGACATGTTTCCGATGCTTGTTATGCTGTTCCGTGTCAGGTCAATAATTGACACATTGTTTGGAAAACCTTTGGGAAGATCGTCAAAGGTCATTCCTGAACAGTTAACAAGTACCTCGTGACCTGTTTCTACAATCTTGCAATTCTTAATGTCAGATCTTGAAGTGCTGCACAGCAAACTGCCAGCGCTGATCCACTGAATCAGGATCCTCAGTAATATGTTCGCTGTCATTGTCTGAAAGATAATAATAATAATAATGGTGTATTGTTGTTTGTTTTTATTGCTTGTTTAACGCCGCACTCGGCACTATTCCAATTATATGACGGCGGTCTGTAAATAATCGAGTCTGGACCAGACAATCCAGTGATTGACATCATGAGCATCGATCCACGCAATTTGAATCGATGACATGCATCAACCAAGTCAGCGAGCCTGACCACCCGATCCCGTTAGTCGCCTCTTACGATAAGCATAGTCGCCTTTTACGGCAAGCAGTGGTTGCTGAAGATCTATTCTACCCCCCGGATCTTCACGGGTCGGGAGACACATGTATTCAGGCTAATATAACGTTTGTATTACCCTACCCTGAGACAGTATCCAGCTTGAAATAACACGTGCCTATGAGCGTGACGCACCCAATCACTTTCTCGACTTTCAATTTGATTTAACATAAAAGGATAAACATGATTGATACGCAGGAACATGCTGTTAATGCAAATGGATAAAAATGTCAACAATGCCCATATTTGGGCATATATCAATATTTATGCGCAACCAGATTTGCAACCGGTTTCAGTTTAAATACACATTTTGACGTGGGAAGTGTTTTATACAACTCATAAACCGTCTACAGGCAAGAAATACCAGAAAATATCGCGAATCAATAGCGAGGCCGCGGTATAAAACGAATTGGATGACAACAGGCGAGAGAAAGACCGCGTTCAGCATGCAAACAACTGAAGTCAGCAAGTGTCAGAAAGCACTTTCCATGAACCTTAGGAAAAAGGTGCGCGTTGATTACGAGTCAACAAAAGTCACAGCCCAAGCACAAACAATTTGTTTGAATTATTTCCTTGATAATTTCCTTGTAGCAGTATCACTAAGGGTGATGTGGTTTTATGCGTCCCGCGTTAGGTTTCACATAGGGACACATAAATACACGTATACAAGTTCGAGGTACGTGGTATCGGGGTACGATGACGCAACAAGCAAAGTCGCGAGTCTGTCCGTCCGATCCAAATTTGTTCGATTCTCACGGCATGTAATATAGTGAAGAGCCCTCTTGCACAAAGCAATCCAAGCGCTGAAACTATAGCAATTCTATGTTTAAGTACAGGAGTTAGAGAGTCTTAACGAAAGACGTTAAAAGATGGTACTTGTTGTTACCCTGTCTGGTGGTCAGCACTAAGGAGATAAAACACGGACTTGGTCGGCTCGAAGTAGGTATACTGTGTCTGAGTGGGGTTAAACTGCGGCATGGTATCTCAGTAGGCTAGCACTATAAATCGGCATCATTCCGGACAATAGCCACACACACACACACACACACACACACACACACACACACACACACACACACACACACACACACACACGCTTTTAGCAATCTTCCAGCAATATCACGGCGGGGGGGACACCAGAAATGGGTTTCACAGATTGTACCAATGTCGGGAATCGAACCCGGGTCTTCGGCGTGACGAGCGAACGCTTTATTCACTAGGCTACCCGACTGCCCCTACCTCTATAGAGACATATTTATCAATGCAACCAAAGCTCAACCAATACCCAACCAAAAGTCATAATTGATACCTGATGTTAATTCTACGTTGACATTTCAACTTTCAAATCCAACCAAAAATCAATGTCATTTCAATGCTGAAACACAACATTGTTTCAACACTGGTTCAAATGTTGTGCCGGGTGGGTAAGTTTTATTGAAATGTGATAGATGTGAAGTACTCGTTGTGATTCTTTAGATTGTTGTTACCCTGTCTGGCGCTCGGCACAAAGGGGCTAAAACAAGGACTGGTCGGCTCGGAGTCAGTATACTGTGTCTGAGTGGGGTATTCATGTTAAACTGCGGCATGGTATCTCAGTGAGCTAGCACTATAAATCGGCATCAGTTCGGACTAGTACAAGCAGCCACACAAACACACACACGTACATGAACGTCGCTATATAAGTGCAATAATTTTGGCGCGACGTTAAACCCCGTTTCACCTCACCTCGGTCGGGTAGCTGTTATATTGCTAAAAGCGGCGTAAAACCACAGTCACTCACTCCACTCACTCGTGACCCGTGAAGATCCGGGGTAGAATAGCACTACAGCAACCCATGCTTGCCGTAAAAGGTGTCAATACTTGTCGTAAAAGGCGACTAACGGGATCGGGTGGTCAGGCTCGCTGACTTGGTTGATGCCAGGGTATGAAACTCCCAAAATTTTCAGCCAGACCACAGGACTGGCTAGCTGAAATACTTGCCAGCCCTGACCAAAACCTGCCTGCCCACAATAATCATATGTTTCTCAGGATAATTTAATTAAAACTTTAAATCGAATTCATTGAACATGAAGTAATGCAAGAAAAGAAATAGCAAACACTTTTTAGGTCAGATTTGTATTTAATATGCTAGAATACATCATGTAAATAATGCTTATCATCGGGAAATATTTAGAATATTTTTACATATAAAATATAACCCGACCGTCGGGCAGGGGGATTTGAAAATCTGGCAGCCCGAGTTGAAATCAACCCGTCTCGGACGGTCGGGCAGGCAGGTATTTCGAACACTGTTGATGCATGTCATCAACCCCAATTGCGTGGATCGATGCTCATGATATCAATCACTGGATGGTCTGGTCCAGACTCGATTATTTACAGACCGCCGTCATTTAGCTTGAATATTGCTGAGTGCGTCGTTAAACAACAAACCAACCAACCACTCACTCGTTCCGCCATTTTGTTTTATCTCATCTATGTTGTTGCCAGTAGCTTTTGTTTGGAGACCAGAATATCCAGCTGTACACAAAGGGTCTACAACAATATCTATTATTACAAATTCTATAATAACACTCACCTTATATTCATAAGCAACTCCGTTTCTTTTCACTGATATTAATAACTGTGTCTGCTGGGACATCTGTATTGGGTTCGGCCTGCTGTGGTAGTAATCATTTCCTTATGAGCGTTTCGGTCATAAACAAACAAGTGCAAAGTTCAGTTGAGTTAAAACTCCAAATTGAGGAAATATTTCTTATCAACTACTTCCAATGCATTATCACGCGTCAAACAATTCTCAAAAATGTGATATCACGTGTTGAGGAAAATGTGTAAATAAAAGGTATTTGATCAGCCGATTGTAAATCAAAGCAAAACCCGGTCGTTCACAAGTTGTCTCTTTCAATCCCTCATCGAACTCAAGTGGTCTCTAATACTTTCCCTTCTTCGTCTCCAGGTCGTTTCTTATAATCTCTCCTCATCGTCTCCAGGTCGTTTCTTATAATCTCTCCTCATCGTCTCCAGGTCGTTTCTTTTAATGTCTCCTCATCGTCTCCAGGTCGTTTCTTATAATCTCTCCTCATCGTCTCCAGGTCGTTTCTTATAATCTCTCCTCGTCGTCTCCAGGTCGTTTCTTATAATCTCTCCTCATCGTCTCGAGGTCGTTTCTTATAATCTCTCCTCATCGTCTCCAGGTCGTTTCTTATAATCTCTCCTCGTCGTCTCCAGGTCGTTTCTTTTAATGTCTCCTCGTCGTCTCCAGGTCGTTTCTTATAATCTCTCCCCATCGTCTCCAGGTCGTTTCTAATAATCTCTCCTCGTCGTCTCGAGGTCGTTTCTTATAATCTCTCCCCATCGTCTCCAGGTCGTTTCTTATAATCTCTCCTCATCGTCTCCAGGTCGTTTCTTTTAATGTCTCCTCATCGTCTCCAGGTCGTTTCTTATAATCTCTCCTCATCGTCTCCAGGTCGTTTCTTATAATCTCTCCCCATCGTCTCCAGGTCGTTTCTTATAATCTCTCCCCATCGTACCCAGGTCGTTTCTTATAATCTCTCCCCATCGTATCCAGGTCGTTTCTTATAATCTCTCCTCGTCGTCTCCAGGTCGTTTCTTATAATCTCTCCCCATCGTCTCCAGGTCGTTTCTTATAATCTCTCCTCGTCGTCTCCAGGTCGTTTCTTATAATCTCTCCTCATCGTCTCCAGGTCGTTTCTTATAATCTCTCCTCGTCGTCTCCAGGTCGTTTCTTATAATCTCTCCTCATCGTCTCCAGGTCGTTTCTTATAATCTCTCCTCATCGTCTCCAGGTCGTTTCTTATAATCTCTCCTCGTCGTCTCGAGGTCGTTTCTTATAATCTCTCCCCATCGTATCCAGGTCGTTTCTTATAATCTCTCCTCATCGTATCCAGGTCGTTTCTTATAATCTCTCCTCATCGTCTCCATGTCGTTTCTTTTAATGTCTCCCCATCGTCTCCAGGTCGTTTCTTATAATCTCTCCCCATCGTCTCCAGGTCGTTTCTTATAATCTCTCCTCATCGTCTCCAGGTCGTTTCTTATAGTCTCTCCTTATCGTCTCCTTATAGTCACCTCTCATCGTCTTTAAGTCGCCAAATCATTCTCTGTGATCGCCTGAAAGGTTAAACATCTGATCTCAACTGTCCAAGTCAAGTCCTCATATCATTTCATTGTTTCAAGTCGTCATATCGCCTCCCCCTCGCCGTAAAGAGATTACAGTTTAATCACATCTCATCTCACCTTGTTCTCCAGATCCTCTAGTCCTATCTTCCATCGCCCCAAAGTCGTCTAAAACATATCCCATGGTACAATGCATGTACCGGTTAATTATCCACTGCATGTCGCACGGTCATGGGTAGTGTTTCCCACACGATGCTATGAGTGAGTGGCTGAGTATTGTTTTACGCCGCTTTTAGCAATAATCCAGCAATGCGGGGAACACCAGAAATGGGCTTCACACATTGTACCCATGTGGGCACACGATGATATGACGATATTATGACGGTGGATCACAGCATAGAGGTGTACACGCGGAAAGAAAATGGGCCGTAATGCCTAACCACACACACACACACACACACACACACACACACACACACACACACACACACACACACACACACACACACACACACACACACACACACACACACACACACACACACACACACACACACACACACATACACACACACATACATACATACATACATACTAAACACGATGACATGCTTGTTTGCTTGTTTGTTTGTTTGTTTGTTTGCTTGTTGTGTAACGCCGCACTCCACAATATTCCAGCTATATGACGGCGGTCTGTAAGTAATCGAATCTGGACCAGACAATCCAATTTGACATCATGACCATCGATCCGCGCAACTGGGATATAATTACATGCATGAATCAAGTCTATATGACGGCGGTCTGTAAATAATCGACTATGGTCCAGACAATCCAGTGATTACATCATGATCATCGATCCAAGCAATTGGGATCGATGACATGCATCAACCAAGTCAGCGAGCCTGACCACCCGATCCCGTTAATCGCCTCTTGCGACAAGCATAGTCGCCTCTTACGGCAAACAATGGGCTGCTGAAGACCTTATCTCTACCCGGATCTTATGGATAAGAACTTCTGTGTTATACTTATATGGCGTTTTAGGGCTACCTCTCGCCCCTTCATCAGGCAATTCTTGTCATGAATACATCCAGCATCTAAATGCATAGAAGGACTCTCATGTTTCACAATGTCTATGTGCAACATGACATTACGCTTCACCGAGAAACCTACCTGAACAGGCAAGAAAGAGTTTTTCGGGTTTGTTTTAACTTGCCCAAACACGCACCTATTACGCAATATCTTCTTTCGATCAAATACTTAAGCATAATTATACAAAAAACAAACAGAAATTATATGTTGTTTACTATCATAATCATAATACGACACAAAATGGTAAACAATATAACATGTGAAACTTTAATTATTATACTCCCGAAACTATTAAGAATACGTAACAACGGTTCCTCTGAGGTAATGGGAGCATGCTACGATTTAAACCTCTGTCCCTCAGTCAAGCATTAGTGTACAAACCTGTGATTGTGCGGGTTAGAATAGGTCTTCAGCAACCTAAGCTTGCCGTAAAAGACATTTATGCTTCTCGTAAGATGCAACTAACAGGATCGGGTGGTCTGGCTTGCTGACTTGGATGATGCATGTCATCGTATCCTAATTGCGTGGATCGATGCTCATGACGTCAACCATTGGATTGCCTGGTCAAGACTCAATTACTTACAGACCGCCGTCATCTAGCTGGAACATTGCGGCGTTAAACAACAAACAACAACATCATTAAAGTACAAGAAACTTGCCGGATAGAGTTTCTAGAAACACGTTTTATAAAATTACTAGAAACATGCTGGATAAAATACCTTGAAACTTGCTGGCATTAGAAACTTCCTGGTTAATGGTACTAGAAACCTGTTCAATGTAGATACTTGTAACTTTCTGGATAAATTTGCAAGTTACTTGCTCAATATAGATACTAGTAAGTTGCTCCATACAGGTATAACTTACTTGTTGGATGTTGTAACTTGAAAGAATGTTCAAGTAATTTGTTGGATACTAGAAACATTGGGAGGCGGTGTCGATGACGTGATAGTGAATGTTGTTGTGGAGATGTCGATGTCGTGATAGTGAATGTTGTCGTAGAGATGACGTGATAGCGTATGTTGTTGTGGAGATGACGTGATAGCGTATGTTGTCGTAGAGATGACGTGATAGCGTATGTTGTTGTGGAGATGTCGATGTCGTGATAGTGAATGTTGTCGTAGAGATGACGTGATAGCGTATGTTGTTGTGGAGATGTCGTGATAGCGTATGTTGTTGTGGAGATGACGTGATAGCGTATGTTGTTGTGGAGATGACGTGATAGCGTATGTTGTTGTGGAGATGTCGTGATAGCGTATGTTGTTGTGGAGATGTCGATGTCGTGATAGTGAATGTTGTCGTAGAGATGACGTGATAGCGTATGTTGTTGTGGAGATGTCGTGATAGCGTATGTTGTTGTGGAGATGACGTGATAGCGTATGTTGTTGTGGAGATGACGTGATAGTGTATGTTGTCGTAGAGATGACGTGATAGCGTATGTTGTTGTGGAGATGTCGATGTCGTGATAGTGAATGTTGTCGTAGAGATGACGTGATAGCGTATGTTGTTGTGGAGATGTCGTGATAGCGTATGTTGTTGTGGAGATGACGTGATAGCGTATGTTGTTGTGGAGATGACGTGATAGCGTATGTTGTTGTGGAGATGTCGTGATAGCGTATGTTGTTGTGGAGATGTCGATGTCGTGATAGTGAATGTTGTCGTAGAGATGACGTGATAGCGTATGTTGTTGTGGAGATGTCGTGATAGCGTATGTTGTTGTGGAGATGACGTGATAGCGTATGTTGTTGTGGAGATGACGTGATAGCGTATGTTGTTGTGGAGATGTCGTGATAGCGTATGTTGTTGTGGAGATGTCGATGTCGTGATAGTGAATGTTGTCGTAGAGATGACGTGATAGCGTATGTTGTTGTGGAGATGTCGATGACGTGATAGTGAATGTTGTCGTAGAGATGTCGTGATAGTGTATGTTGTCGTAGAGATGACGTGATAGCGTATGTTGTTGTGGAGATGTCGATGTCGTGATAGTGAATGTTGTCGTAGAGATGTCGTGATAGTGTATGTTGTCGTAGAGATGACGTGATAGCGTATGTTGTTGTGGAGATGTCGATGTCGTGATAGTGAATGTTGTCGTAGAGATGTCGTGATAGTGTATGTTGTCGTAGAGATGACGTGATAGCGTATGTTGTTGTGGAGATGTTGATGTCGTGATAGTGAATGTTGTTGTGGAGATGTCGATGTCGTGATAGTGAATGTTGTCGTAGAGATGTCGTGATAGCGTATGTTGTCGTAGAGATGACGTGATAGCGTATGTTGTTGTGTAGATGTTGATGACGTGATAGCGTATGTTGTCGTAGAGATGTCGTGATAGCGTATGTTGTCGTAGAGATGACGTGATAGCGTATGTTGTTGTGGAGATGTTGATGACGTGATAGCGTATGTTGTCGTAGAGATGTCGTGATAGTGAATGTTGTCGTAGAGATGTCGTGATAGTGAATGTTGTCGTAGAGATGTCGTGATAGTGAATGTTG